AACCAGCTACTTGACTGAATTTGGTTATTAAGTCTAGAAGACTTTTGGTGGAGTTCTTGGGGTCTTCTATATAGAGTATCATGTCATCTGCAAATACTTTTAGTTTTAAGTACCACAAATTGCAAAGTATTTATTGAGACTTATTGCGGCATTTCTTTTGATACAAGCTAGACTCTAGAATGTTAACATAACTTCAAAAAATTATTCTCAAACTAGGAATGGTGGCATATACCTGTAATCCCAGCACTGAGGGAGGGAGAGGCAAGAGGATTGCGAGCTTGAGTCCTACCTGGGAGACTTAGCAAGGCCCTGTCTCAAAATAAAAAGTAGAAAAGACTTGATCAGTAGCTCAATGTGAAGGCTCTGGGTTTACTCCCCAGTACCATACACACACAAAAAAATCTCTTCTTGGGTTTGGGAGTTAGGTATATTTTCTAATGAATTCTCATTTATAGTGGAAATATTTATTTAAATAATTGGGTCATTTTAATTTTTATCAAAAGAGTCATGAAATTTAAAATATTTTAGTTGATTTAATTGGAAAATATCCAAAATACCTCTTAAAATGTGTTAGATAGTAAACTGTAGGTAGGGATTATTTTTAAAAATTCATTTTCCGCTAATGTATTTTAGCTCTGTAGATGATGAATAGTATTTTTCTGACCTCCTCCTTTTTGTTTTGTGGAATACTGAAAGCAGATTTTCCTAGTGTTTTTCAAGGATCACTGTGCATGCGTATGTAGGGTGTGTGTGTGTGTGTGTGTGTGTGTGTGTGTGTGTATTTGTGTGTGTGTGTTACTAGGGATTGAACCACAGAACCTTTGTACTGATCAATATCTCTAGTCTTTGTTTTTATTTTTTAAATTTTGAGACAGGGTCTCAAAAAATAGTGAGGTGATAAATAATAGGTAATTTTGTGATATGGTGTGTGATTGAACAGTTAGGTAGCTGTATGTAGGGGTTTTTTTTTTTATAACTAATACTTTCATACAGTTCCAAATTACAGAAAAGTTTTATAAGTGAAGTTTTTTCTTGGCTCTATCCCTGACTACCAATTTCACATCCCCTGAGACAGTCTTTGTTACCAGTTGATGGTGTTTTCTTCCAGAAGTACATTGTGCATAGACGGCAAAATTGGTAGGGGAGTGTGCAGCTTTCTTTTTTTCATGTATATGTTGTACTACAGATTGAACTGGTGTCTGAACAGAGGTATATCCTCAGGCCTTTTATTATTTTTATTTTGAAACAGTATCTTTCTGAGTTATTAAGTTGCCCACTCTGGGCTCAAATTTAGGAACCTCCTGCCTCAGTTTTCCGTCAGTGTTGGGTTTACCTCCTTTTTTCAAATTTAATTTTTTTAAAGTGGTGGTATGGATTATTTTGAACTTGGGTTTTCATTTTACTTAATCTCTGTTTTTGGAGATCAGTCCTGTGTCAGCACATAGTTTCCTCATTCTTTTTCATACCTGTTTAGTCTCATTAACAGATTGGTGGGAGAAGATGCTTTCAGTATTAGGGATAAATAAGAATTGAGTGTATTGTCTTTCAAATCCAATCTGCCAGTGTATCTGAATAGACCAACTAGGTTGAGAAGAGGAACTCAAAGTAGCTTCTGACATGGAGATAAAATACTTATTTTCTCAGTGTGTGGTAACAAGTTAGAAAAGTAAAATCTTACCTTTTTAAAAAATAACCCTTAGGGCCAGGTATTTATCTCAGTGATGTTGCACCTGCCTTGAAAGTGCAAGGTCCTAAGGGGTTTTAGTGGACAAGCTTCTTGTCTAAAGTTATACACAAAGTACCTGGAGAAATACACATTCTTCTAAACTAAACAGTATCTCTTACTGTTTATCACAGTGTTGTTAACTTTTGATTTTACCAGGGGGAGTATTTTCAGAGAGTTGACCTCTGAAAATGCTTTTTTTGGTTTTTTTTTTCGACAGTGCTAGGGATAGAACCCAGGGCCTTGTTTATTATACTAGGCAAGTGCTGTACCATTGAGCTACTCCCCCAGCCTGGCTTTTATTTTTTAAGGAAGTAATATTACAGATTTAGTCCAGGGTTAAGGTTTCTGTTGCTTGGTAATTTGTGGTTTTCAAATAACTAATACTTGATCTAATAAGAGATTATCTGAAAACAATCTTTGTAATAAGTTGAATTAAATTTTTTCTTTCAAACTTTTATTGCATCTTATGTTAGTTACTTTTCTCTCTTGCTGAAACAAAATACCTGACACCCAAAGTTAAAAGAGAAAAGGTTTATTTAGTTTACAGTTTGTAGAAGTTTTAGTCCATAATTGGCTAGCTTGAGGGCAGTGTAGCATGGCAGACAGACATTGCAGAGGAGAAACAGTTCACAGCAGGCAAAAGGTAGCAAAAGTGTCTTAACAGCATCTTCCCCCCCCCCCCATCTTAATCAGACTACTTAGGGCAGGTAGCACTCACACCCTTAATCCTAGTGCCCTTGAGCCTAGCATTGCACCATGAATCAATACCAGTGTTACATATTCAAAATCTAGCCATCTCTGAAAAAGCCCCACCTATGACTACACGAGGCTTTGCAGGAACATCTAAACACAAATCATAACATAACTATTTATATTTTGTATGTATGATTTATTCAGCATGGTCAATTCAACAAAAAACCACCTTGAGTTCTTGGGTTTTATGCAGTGTTGTAATTCGTAAAGAAATAGAACCATTTCAGTAGATTTGCTTTAGATTATTCATGACACATGAGGATCTCTTAATAATTAGGTAAATTTATATTCTTATATTTTAACTATGTCATGATGTTTATATATCTTTGTATTAAAGTTCTTTCAATATTTATTGCTTTCCGAAGTAGCACCAAAATTTTTTGTCACGTTTACCAATAATAATTTACTTGATGTTACAAACGGGGTATATATTTTCAATCTAATGTTAGACTACCCCAGAATTCAATCTAATGTCTAACTCATAGTTATTTTACTTTGTCTTATTCTCTAGAATAAGTTCTATTAGGCAGAATTTTTTAAAAATTTATTTTAATCACTACTGTACTACCAGTACCTGAAATAGTGCTTAGTATGGAGTAGGTGCTTGATAAATGATTGTGGAATAAATGAATTTTGAAATAAATCAAGTGCTTTGGGAAAAGATTTGTAAACACCATTCTAATATTTAAAATGATATTTTGGTTATTACTTGAATAAAGTGCTGTTAAAGTGGTCTGTTGCAGACTATTAGTTGTCTGTAGGCTTTTGAGTGTGGAAGGATGGAGTCTGTGCCACTCCATGAAAGATTAGGAAATATAACTTGCTGTTGTGGCTATATTCATGATGGTTAGGAGGTTATGTTTACGTCAGTACTTAAAACCACACAGTTGTTTTGTTTACTTATCTTTGAAGTATTCCTTGAAGATATATTGAACCTAGATCTAGGAAAAATATAGTTGTGAACTGAAGTATTTAGGTTATGTTTTGCTTTTTTTGTTTGTTTTGTTTTTGGAGACTAGATGTCTATGTGTTACCCATGCTGGGCTTGAACTTGGGCTCCACTGATCTTCACACCTCATGTCTCAAGCAGCTAGGACTGCTTGGTGTGGGGGTGGAATGCCTACATGAGGTTTTATGGTTTTTATATGGCAAAAGTAATGCTGACAGATTTTTGGGATTTAAAACTTGGATGGGGGGATAATTGTTTCTGAGGGAGCTTTATTTTTCTTTGTAAAATTATTCTAAGAATTATTTGTATTAATTATAACAAAATATACTTTTGTTTCTAGGTGAAAAATTTAGAGAACTAATGGATAAGTTTCTGAGGACAAACTTAAGTAAAGGCTGCCCACCCTTGTTTACCACTTTGAAGTCTTTATATTATAATGCAGAAAAGGTAAAATTTGGTATTTAATTTTGCTGTTGTGCTTTTACTAAGTTAATTATTATAGAAAGATTTCTGTGTAAAGTGCTATGATTTAGTAATTTTCTGTATTCTAGTAATGTTATCCTCCTGACTTTTAATCTAATAGATGTATAATCACTTGAATCTACTACAGTATCAAAGGAAATGTCAATCTATGAAATTTACAGAAAGTAAAAGCTGTATTAAAAGAGGTTATTATAGATTCCACCGCTCCTAGGGCAGAGGAGGTGAGCCACAAGGACACCAGCAGCTCACCCCCCCCGCCCCGTGGAAATGAGAAGACATGTAAACAAGCCTCAAAAACAGACTTCCAGATCACCTACAACAACCCCAAAGGGAAATGAGATGGAATAATCTGATACTCAACCGCCTGGACTCTCTGAACTGGCAACAAAAGAGGATCTGGGAAAAATGAAATCAGAAATAATTTCTCAGATAACAGCAAAGATT